ATGTTAAAATTCAGTATTTTTCATATAATACATTAACGTACGATGACATCGTAGATTTCAAGATTGCAAACAAAGAATTTCTCAGACTAGAAACTTTTGACTTCTTCTTTAAGATTGTTAGATAATTTGTAAAATATTTGATTTTCATATATAAGTCCTTTGGCTGCTTGATTTTTCACTCCAATGTTTTCTTCTAAAGGCAACAAGAAAGTGTGTGCTGTTGGTGGACAGCCCGTTGTTGGTGGAAGCTGTCCAGGTGCGTAGCGTAAAATCAGCAGCTTTTACATATTGAATAAAAAAGACGTTAGCAAGTTGTTCATGTAAATGTAGTTCATGAATACAGTGTAGTGAGCAAATAACTTAAAATTTTGCATGTCTGAAAAAAAATATTTAAAAGAATATAAATATATGTTTTAATTTCCCTTTTAAGTAAAAATGTTAACACTAAGATACTATGCTAACCTTTTTCAGATCTTTATCCAAAACTTACAACAATGCCGGTTCTTTCAAAACCGGAAGTTACTCCAACAAAGGATGTTCGCTTTCCTTGTAGAATCGACTACCCTATCGGCCAATCAGATGTAGGATTTATAGTCACCTGGACAGTGAATGGCAAAGAGCTCATGGACAACACGAATCAACCGGTTCAAACTGTCTTAAAAGGGGATTCCAGGGTAGCCTATCTAGACGCAACAAAACTTCAAGGAAATTTAGGAAAAGAAGTTGGTGTCAATTTTTTTTGTAATATTCTTATACAAAGTTAGGCAGTCCTAGATATTCCCATACTCTTTTTTGCTGAAATCCTTTTTCCAAGAACAATGTCTGTGAGTGTGATTTTTCTTTTGTAGCTGAGGTGTAATGTTTCCTCATTCCATCCCTCTCACGGACAAGGTGTTCGAAGTGACTCTCTCAGTAGTAACCCATACTGGGCAGGAATCAGAGTAATAGTCTTTTTAAGTATTTATCAAATTGTTTATCTGTAAACCCGAGATAGTCTTTTTATTCCCAATTCGCCTTCTTTTCTTACGACTTTATTGTCAGTTTATCCAATTGAAGTTGACATTTCGGTAGAAAAAGTTTTAACTCTACATTCTATATACTGTGTCTGTAAATTCATCCAAAAAGTAAACTATGCTTTTAATGAGTAAAAACCAAAAACTTTCATTGTGGTTAACAGTTGTTAATTTTTATAATGTGATGAGAGTGTTTTAGGAGAAGGATGGTGATATATTCCAGTCATACATCATGTGTTACAGGTTTCCACTGACCAAGTTAACGTAGATGAAGGTGGTCCTGAGAAAACTGTTACGATCGAGTCAACCATTCCTATCCCTTGTAAAAGCTTATTTGCTTCTGAATGCAAACTACCCATACAATTCATGGGTTTACGTAATCCAGGAGGTAAGGTTTACAATGTTCTACAGGATTTTGGATAATTTACAAGTAGGTCTTGAATGTTATTTTGAGAGAAATATAACTCTTTTTAGGTCACCTGAGTAAACTCAGGTGACCGATTGCTATCCGTTTTCGTCCGTCGTCGTCCGTCGTTCGTCGTGCGTCGTGCGTTAACATTTGAACATTTTCAGCTTCTTCTCTGAAACCACTGAATCAATTTCCTCCACATTTGGCATAGAGCATCTATGGGTAAAGGGGAACAAAAATTGTGAATTTCATAGTCCCTGCCCCCCTGGGGCCTGGGGGGTGGGGCAAAAACCACTAAAATTAGTGCAATCTTTAAAAATCTTCTTCTTTACTCCTGGACATCAAGCAGTCAAACTGTTAGAATGATTGTAATCAGCATTGAGTCCTCAGGGTCAGGGGTTCTAGTACTAGGGCGGGGCTAAATAGGTTATATAGTGAAAATGCATTATTTCTTTGAAATTCTTCTTTTTTGCTCCTGGGCATTAAATAAACTAACAAAGTGCATAGTTGAGTTGAAAATGACTACCTCTTCCAAAATTGTGAATTTCATGGCCCCAGGGCAAGGGGTTTTAGTGCTAGGGCAGGGCTATATAGATTATATAGTGAAAATGCAAAAATTCTTTGAACGTCTTCTTTTCTGTTTGTGGGCATTAAATAAACTAACAAAGTGCATGGCTACGTTGAATAAGACTGCCTCTTCCAAAATTGTGAATTTCATGGGCCAAGGTCAGGGGCTCTAGTGCTAGGGCGGGGCTATATAGATTATATAGTTAAAATGATTTATTTTTGTGAAAATTTTCTTCTCTGTTCCTGAGTATTAAACAAACTAACCAAGTACGTAGTTATGTTGAATAAAGCTGCCTCTTCCAAAATTGTGAATTTCATGACCCCTGGGTTAGGGGTTCTGGTGTTAGGGGGGGACTTTATTGATTATATTGTGACAATGCATAAATTCTTTAAAAAATCTTTTTTTTCTACACCTGGGTATTTAACCAATGAACTATGTACATAGTTATGAGAAGGAAGGATCCCTCTTTGAGATTTGTGAATTTCAGGGACCCTGGGTCAGGGCTTCTTGTGTTAGGGCGGGGCTCTAATGTTTATTTGGTGAAAATGCATGATTTCTTTGAAAATGTTTTCCTTTGTTCTTGGGTATTATGCCAATGATCTTAATATATTATATTTATGAGGAAGAAAGCTGCTTCTTCATAAAACGGTTATTTTACTTGGCCCCTGGGACAAAGGTACTGGGGGGGGGGGGGTACATAGTCTGAAAATTATTTAATGCTTTGAAATCTGCACTTTGGTATTAATCAACAACACGATGAAATAAAATTTATAAAATTTCCAAAATTTTTAAAGATATGGCCCCAGGGTCAGTGGTTCCTGTGGGATGGGGTGCACAAATGATCGAGTGGAAATGCATTTTCTATTTGTTACTCTGATCTACCTCTGGGTATTAAGTAACCAAAGTAAGCATGCTGAGTGTATAATTATGATAAGCAATGGTGCCTCTTTCAAAATTGTGTCAGAATTCCATGGCCTCTGGTTTAACACATGAATCAAATTTAATTTGTTGGAAAGTTGTTGCATGATACTCAGGTGACCTATAAGGCCCATGGACCTCTTGTTTACTTTCCTATCCAGATGCCGCTCTCTCTAGTTGTCACTTTGACCTCAAGCTTGATAATGCCACCGGGGTATACTCAACGTCTTTCAAAGTCAAGGCCACCAGAGATTTTATCAAAGATCATAACCATGTACAAGAAATCGCATTCAAACCTATACTTAATTTTCTGCATCCCATGTGGAACAACTACACGATAAACCCTATTAAGGTAAAGTCACAAAATGCTAATATAGTATTCTTGAAAATTTTGGTAAATATAAATTAGATATCTTAACGATGTAGTAAATGAAAAATTTTAGTAAAAAAATCCAAATATTCGCTATATTGTAGATATCCTGAAAATTCTCCAGTTTAACTTTTAAAGTTTTAAAGACATTTAATTTCTTATAACAAATTTCGATACATTTTTTTCTCTCGAAATTATTATTATTATTATATACATTATTGTGGAAACAAACAGGTTGTGTACTGATTTAAAGCGTTGCAGAACTCGCAATTATATATCATTCACAAAGTTTTCCAGAATTTATGTAGATATACTCCTTTTTCAATAGATTGGAACTACAGACAAAGACCACGGGCACTGTATATTATCAGGAGATCCCCACTTCCGAGGATTTGATTATAAAAAGTAAAATAACAATTCTGTGTTGCAAGTCTTATTTTCACCATTTGATGAATTTCAATTCACACATATTTCTAATACCATACATGTATTAACAATTCTTTGTTCAAAGAAACTACAACGTTTACGAAGTTGGGGATATGGTACTGTATAAATCTAAAAACCAAAAGAGACCATTTGAGGTAAAGATTTGAACTATTCAACTAAATTAATTTGGCATTGAATTAATCTTTTGCCAAACGAAACCTTCAACAGAAATGCGTTTTAGGTTCAAGTCAGAACATGGCCCTGTGGAAGCTATCATCCCTGCGCATGTGCAGTTGTTGCAAGAGAAGGAAACGATGTTGTCGAAATCGATATGTGTGAGAAGAGAGCAGGCGTTGTGGAGGCTCCATCAGTGTCTTATCCCTCCGGACACCCTCTGGAGGGAACCACTGTCAGCAGGGATAAAACAGGAAAAATATTCTATGTGAGCATAAGTATTATGATTTATTTAGATGTATGATGTAATGCGTTTAATCAAGTATGTACATTTATCTTTGTTTGTTTATATACCTGTTTATATTCTGATCCGATTTTCAGTTTTTACAGACTGAATAAAAAAGGTTAATACAATTGTTAAAATGTGAGAAATATGAATTTTGATCTTAATTTCGGTGTTCCGGAAAGCATGATATGGAGATAACGAACAGTATGCAATATCAAAGTCCATAAAACAATATAAAACAGGAGCAGAGCAAACCCGGACCTCTAAAACATCAGAGGTGGGATCAGGTGCCATGGAGGAGTGAACATCCCCTGCCGACCGGTCACACCCGCCGTGTGCTCCTTGTCATGATCGGGAAATAACGGAAAAATCTGTCGTCAATTCATTGTATAAATAATGGACTAATAATTAGTATGAAAAACGTCAGTAAGCATTTGACTCAAAGATAAATTGTATTTGCTGACAAGGTCATCGTATCGACCACAGAACTTACGAAATGATGTCTTTAAACGAGACTGCTGATATTCTTGTTTCATCAACTTGTTTGTCAATAATTTACCTCGCTTTAGAAATTGTTCACAAGTAGAGCATGCTCTTGCGTATGGAATCACCTCAGATGTATAAACTCCGTATGCGGGTGATGAAGGTAAATTGCTGCATAAATAAGGTTAGTTGACGACAGAAAAGTTTAAGTCATCACGTTTATCATAGGGCTTGGCTGTTAGATTACCATTAAGGTCTTTTTCAAGTAAAATATCCAAGTATGAAACAGATGTGTCAGACTCTGTGGTATCTTCATCTCAAGCTCACTAGAATATATCGTATCGACATAGGAATGGAAATTACCATTGTTAATTGACAATACGTCGTCGATATTTCTATATATGTCGAGTTGAAGGCCACAGCAAGTGTTTTCTTCTTTCATGCATAAGATTTTGCACAAATTCTGCTTCATATGAATATAAAAATAGGCGATACATTTGTCTGGGATGAGGAATCGAGGGAGGGAATTTTTCATTTTGATTAAATCTTTATCATTTCTTTTCTTTTTTAATGACAATGGCAACCCATTGCATTCACATATAAAATCTAATACCGGTATACAGAAACAAACTAACTGTTCCATGTGTTCCATTCGTGTACTTAAATGTAATATTGTCAGCCATTAAAAGTTCGTGTATCGAATTCAAAAACCAACATTGATCTTAGATCATAATTTATTACACTTTGACTAAAACTGATGGAAATTAGCACTTTTAGATAATTTCACAGAGTTAAATAAAGTAATTAAGTCTTATATATAAGAAGCACAAAACCTGTGTGTAAAAATATGAACGATTAAGAATTTTCGATATTTTCAACATTCTTAACCTGTGCATCCCTTTCATAAAACAGACAGTCGCTTTTTTGAACGTTTGCTTACTAGTATACATACAGTAGAATGGTTTACATTGTTGTCTGAACTATTAAAACTGCCCTGTTGTAAGTAAGTCATCAAAATGTACTCGATTTCAGCATTGTGTTGAAATAAAAACTCTCTCCATGAATGATTTCTAACCAACTTGTCTCATTTGCATTATAATAGATAAATTTTCCTTCCGGAGCCAGACTACAGGTTACAACAGCTATATCAAAAGGTCGCCATGGTAACGAACATTTGCCCTTCATGAACGTGGACATTCAGGGTCCCCCGGATGACTTTGGTTCCAGTGAGGGGCTCTGCGGGAACTGGAACGGGGACGACGGAGATGATTTCGTGGGAGGGGACGGAAGGCTTTATAAACCAGCAACAGTGGCCAACTTCTCTAAAAGCTGGATGTAAGATGGAGCTTTGTTGCACAATGTCATTACTGAAAAATCTCATAATTCTTCCATGTTTTTTTTATTTACAAGAACAAGCAAGATGTTTTAAAATAGCGATATATTAAAAGAAAAAGCTTCATTGACTCTTTATTGACTCTTAAAAATTGGATCAAAAATACCTTTCGATGTGTCTTCATTTAATGGATTGAAGGAGTTTTAGACGTTTGTAACATTTGTAGGTTACCAGGCCACTCAAGTATGTTTTATCAAATCCCCAAATACGAGAAACATCTTGCTCCTAAGTTTGAATACTGTTCTTGCAAAACAGGGACTGCCGTAGACTGTACCAAAGTGGGAAAAGGCGCCATTAATCCAAGCAAGGTTTGTAACATAGACTCTTTGTGATGCTTTAGGTGTTTTTCTGTGGTCAAGGACTCGTCTAATTTAAGCTTTGGTATCAGCAATAGTTAAATCATTCTTTTTATCTTAGCCTAAAGATGGCACGGTGATAAACGGCGGTAAGAATAAGCACCCACGTCGTTCTGCTCGCTCTTATACTGACCATTACCCGGACCTAGACTTACCAGCTGACCCGAGGGTCACAGCAAGTAAGCTTAGGACGTAAAAAATTACTACAAGCATTGATAAATCCAATACTTCTGTGCATTTGTGTCTATAGAAGAAACATTGTTCTGATACAGAGAGGTTACGAAGAAATGCTGCCGCAGCCTTTCCCACTCCCAGTGGAATAACGGAGGGACAGGCCCGATCCTCCTGTAACCACACTATCTCTATGTCCTCCCTGTACAGTCACTGTCACCATACCAGCATCCTGACTGATATGCTGGACGGATGTGTGGAGGACATCAAGGTAGACCAATCAATGGACATCAGCGTCCATCATCAATAGGTTATCATTGTTAATGATAATGATGAACTTAAAGTTTTACTGATGTTTATGATAATAAATGGTAGATTCATTTTACGAAAATTTTTACTTTTTTAACCTGAAATTTTCAACTAATTAAATGAATGAAAAAACTAGAAGCAATCTATTTTTTCTACAAATAAACATTTCAGTATTCCGATAGTATTGAGGCATTCGAGATGGCGCACATGAACGCTTTTGATAGCATTTGCTACAACGAGCTTGCAAAGGATCCCAGAAACATTCAGTACATTAACGGTGACCCAGTAGTCAATCCCTCTATCTTAACTTGTCCAAATCAGTGCTCAAAGAACGGAAGATGCGTCGGAGACACGTGTCATTGTAACCATGGCTACACATCAGCCGATTGTTCTGTTAAAATTGGATCGACGCCAACTATTCATAGAGTGAGGGGGTAAGTACTAACCTCATTAAGTAAGATATAACTAAAACTTTGCAATGAAAAGGCAATGACATATTCATATTGTGATTGAGTAACTGAGTTTGTATCAATATTACAGGGATGAACAGTGTGACATTAGAAGACGCCCATGTCGGCAGGCCAATGTTATTGTTGACAATATTCTGGAGTCGTCACATTTAGCTTGTAGAATAACACCCCTAACTGCAAGTAGCATATTTAAATCGAAGGTTTTTCATACACAGGAATCTTTGTCAAGTTTGACAAAGAATAATGTTGCATTAAATAATAAAACATTGGTATGGATCTTAATTTGAATGAGACAAATTGATGATGTAGTCCAATATGATGAAAAGACATATAAAGTGTGTTTTCCAAAGAGTTAGAAGACGACCCATGGCAATTTATTTTTTTCGTTGTTATTCTATCTTTAGCTGTCAGATGGAACGCCTGTCGAGTCCGGTCCTGCAGCGACATACAAAGGAGAATTCCTCAGTTTCTTAGAAGTACAATGTCCCATTCCCGAGAGTACTGTTATGAAAGGTTATTTCTAGCAAATCATTTGTACAAATGCCATTTATTCTAGAAGAAGTGCATTTATTGTTTTGTTAAAATTAAATTTTCCTCAGAACCTTCTTTTAACTCGATGAGACTCAGAAGTAAAATTAGTAGAGAATTCATTTTTTAAAAATCGAGATTTCCAACTGACTTAGAGCTATCTATTGTATTCAAGATATCTGGGTTCGAGATAACGAACTACCACTGTAATGGATTTTCAATGAATTTTATGTTTTAAGGAACCGCTGCCCAGGGTTTCAAAATCTCAGTGACGTCAGATGGTCATCATTACAGTCATGACGCTTTGTTTATTGTGGCTGACGGTTACTGCATGAAATGTACAGCCGCAGGTGTCTGTACACAAAACGTAAGTAACTAAATAACAGGTGTCTGTCCACAGAAGGTAGGTAACTATAAAGCAGGTGTCTGTCCACACAACGTATGTCACTATAAATCAGATGTCTGTACACACAACGTATGTAACTATAAAGCAGGTGTCTGTACACACAACGTATGTAACTATAAAGCAGGTGTCTGTACACACAACGTATGTAACTATAAAGCAGGTGTCTGTACACACAACGTATGTAACTATAAAGCAGGTGTCTGTACACACAATGTAAGTCACTATAAAGCAGGTGTCTGTACACACAACGTATGTAACTATAAAGCAGATGTCTGTACACACAACGTATGTAACTATAAAGCGGGTGTCTGTACACACAACGTATGTAACTATAAAGCAGGTGTCTGTACACACAACGTATGTAACTATAAAGCAGGTGTCTGTACACACAACGTAACTATAAATCAGGTGTCTGTACACACAATGTAAATCACTAAAATGCAGGTGTCTGTACATACAATGTAAATTACTAAAAAGAAATTTCCTATCAGCACACGTTATGCAACAGAGCATAAGACAATATGATTTTACTGTAAAACATATCGGTTAATCAATTAAATTTCATTCCCTTAATCAAGACATATTTTATAACCAACCTGTATATTTTATTCTTCTTCTTGCCCTTGCTAGTCGGCACTACAGGTCAATATACTAGTTTTTTGCTGAATCTCTGTCATCTGACAACAAATTCACTACACGCAAGTTTATTGGTCTGTAGAGAATTTAGGATTAGGAGATGGAAAAAAATATACAGGTTTGTTATAAATTATGTAAGTAACTATAACTCATAAATTAATTAGAAATTGGGAAATAAAAGGTAGTTGAGTGACTAATGCTAGAAAGTGGCGAAATACATCCCAACCGTGCGATCGCACTATAAATTACACCATACTTGCATTACGGGATCTGTACCGTATATTAGTATTATAGCCATAACGCTACTGTTCTGCAGAAAAGAGTAACAGTCATATTTTGTCAGGTATTGGTCTTGGAATTTAAGTTTTGATGACAAGTCAATGTTTATGTTTGGCATTCCTTCAATCCTCAAATTCTGCAGCAACCTTTGGGTTACTAGGAATGTCAATAAACATAATATACTGTAGTACCTCAAATATTGTTTAAACATGCATAGCCATAGGAACTTGGGGCACGGAGGGGGATGCAAATGGTTTTGTCGATATAGAGAATACAATAAAAACATAGCTGATCATTAAGTATGTTTTTATAATTCCTATTATTTTTTCTATTGTAAACAGCCAAACAGTTGTTTTATAGACGGTATGTGCTACCGTAATGGTGACCAGAATAACAAACGACAGGTCTGTGACCCCTCGGTGTCGACTAATGATTGGACAACGAGCAAAACCGTGCAAGGTCAGTGCAGTGATTATTGAGAATTAATGTATTATTCAAACTAATTCACATAAAATTAGATAATATTAACTGCTTTGATTACATCTGGTAAAATATGATTGAAAATGAGGTGAAAGTGGTTAACCCAAAAGTTTAAAATTAAAATGCAAAAATTAAGGTCAATTAAACTACATGTATACTATTGCTCAATAAGGTTAAGGTTGCGTAAAGTCAAAGAAATCTAAATTTCATTATACCCCGCTTGAAAAGCAGGGGATTGTATAGTGATGGGGGTGTCGGTCAGCGCATGTCTGTTACGCTTAAGGGTACCAAGATCTTATCCGCAACTCCTCCTTAAATACCTCTAAATGAAATTTAATGAGACTTTCACAGAATCTCTTTACACGGCGCCATTGTGCATGTTATATTTTACTTTTTGATCAGACACCATTTGGGTTTTTTCCCGTTAGAAAACATGGACAATGTCATTCTTTCTATAATATTAAGGGGGACCGATCTTTTATCCTTCACTCCTCCTATGCCATTTTTTGAAATTTAATAAAACAGTGTATTTTCAAAGACTTATTATATGTATATAGTGCCAATGTCAATGTGCATCTCCTATCATACATTTTGATTTTACATTCATTTGAGCCTCCCATAGTCTCCCACATTTGTGCAAAATCTTATGCGTGAAAAGAAGAAAAAACTTGCTGTGGCCTTCAACTCGACCTTCAGATGTATCGACGACGAATTGTCAATTAACAATGCTTATGTCGATACGATATATCCCAGTGATCTTGAAATAAAGGATACCACAGAGTCTGACACATCTGTTTCATATTTGGATATTTTACTTGAAATACCTTCATCACCTGCATACGGGCTTGATATATCTCAGTTGATTCGATACGCAAGAGCATGCTCTACTTGTGAACAATTTCTAAAATGAGGTACATTATTGACAAACAAGTTGATGAAGCAAGAATATCAGCAGTCTCGTTCAAAGCCATCAAGTTCTATGGTCGATACAATGACCTTGTCAGCAAATACATTTGATCATTGAGTCAAATGCTGATACTAATTGTTAGTCCATTATTTATACACTGAATTGAAGACGGATTTTTCCGTTATTTCCCGATCATGACAATGAGCACACGGTGTGACCGGTCGGCAGTGGATGCTAACTCATCCATGGCACCGGTAGGCAGGGGATGCTCACTGCTCCATGGCAACTGATCCCACTTCTGATGTTTTGGATGTTTGCACTACTCTTATTTTGTATTGTTTCGTGGACTTTTCATCTTGAATACTGTTTGTATCTCCATATGTTTTATAACTAAGACCACAGATGCACCATATGTTTCATTACTAAGATCACAGATGCTTTGGGACCCCCTTTCCCCATCCCGACCCCACCCCTAGCCTCCGTGTTCCATAACCTGTGTATTCTTTATATTTGAATATTTCATAGAAAAAAATATTTTAAATAAGAAAAAAAACCTTTTAGATACGGAACACGGGGGGGGGGGGGGGTTGCTATTATAAACATATGGGGGGCTTGGATATCATTGAGTTCAATGCTCGCAGTACCTCTAGTTTTCTTCTTGAATTTTGATAACTTTAAATAAATCTAAGCTTTAATTTCAGATTCCTTTCATTTTAACCTCGGCTATGTTCATTCTAGGAAGCGTTTCTACTTCGTCAAATTATGTTTCATTTCTACTTAAACTTGACATACATACAGTCATCATATCATTTTCAAGATGATATTAAAAAAAAAAACTTTATTTTAAAATCTGGGGGATTTTTTAACATTGATAGGTCACAGACAAAAAGCGCTAGAAAAAGATCCATCATTGAAATTGATCGTGTTGAAACTGATTGCGTGAAATTTGTTTACACTGACCTTAAATGCCAGAAATTTTACTGTCCCTGTCTACTGAATTTCACGATTTTTTCTGATCTTTTACATAAATAATGGATGGTCCACTGTATATAAGGAACTGGATAGTGCAGTCTCTCATGCTTATTCCCAATATTTGTTTTTTTTTTTCATAACCCCCGCTTGAAAAGTGGGAGGACATATAGTGATAGGAATGTCCATCCACCCATCCGTCTGTTTCGATTTGGGGTACCCATCTGTTACCCGCAACTCCTCTAAGATCACTGAATGAAATGTAATGAGACTTTAACAGAATCATTGCTATATAGTGCCATTATGTATCTCCTATTTTACTTTTGTTCGGACACATATTTCTGTTTGCCATACCAAAACATAGAAACTAACATTCTTTCTCTAAAATTGAAGGCTGCCCATCTCTTATCCGTAACTCCTCCTATACAACTGAATAAATTTAATGATGCTTTTTGATTTTTGATTACATAATTTTATTGCGCACCTCCTATTTTTATTTTTGATCTGACACGTATTTTGCGTGTCCCAGAACAAAAACATGGACTTTATTTGCCATTATAATCATTTTGGAGGTATCATTCTTGCTAAGACATGCTTGTTTAACAAAACCTTAGTCCATAGGGCATCTTTTGGAATATGGAAATGTATGGATTACAGTACCCCTTCTCAAGGTAGTGTAATTTGTATTGCAGAGGTAGATCACTATACCGCCACCTTTACCGGATGTCGTTGTCCCTACAACACTCATCTCTTCCACTGCGCTTGCTGCCAAAATGGCGGATGTCAATGTGGCGAGGTGCAACCTAATCAGTGTACAGACTGTAACAACAAAGCACTGTGCGGAAAAAATCCGGGACTTTTCCCGCCACCAACTCATTAACTGAATAAAAAGTCTTCACTTTTGTACTATAATATTTTGTATAATTGCATATAGAATAAACTGATTTTATATTGATAATTCGTTACACCTGATTGCTTTTAGCTGGTCACTGCATCGTCCAGTCCTTTACATCATGAATACCTCTTGACTTGTCCTTTTTGTTTGTATTTTATTCCATTGAACGTAGATTCATGTTTTATTTCACCCTTATTTTCAAGTGATATCAAATACCTTTTATAATTTTTTTCCTGGCGTGACAAAAACAAATACTGTAAATCACATAGTTTCGAGGGGTCAAATTTTCGTGGTTTGAGGAAAAAATGCGTGTTCATGGGGATTTAATTTCTTTGGTGAAGAATTGTTGAGTTGTTATATCTGTGAAAAATAACATTTCATGGAGGACAAAAATTCCAGAGTCTCTTCATACCTCGAAAACCACGAAAATTAAACCCCCACGAACATTAGTGATTCACAGTACTATTTTTGTCAGGTCCAAGTATATCACAATGCCTTTGAAGTCGACGTGTGCTCAGGTAGAATACCGTATATTAGGTTTTTTCCGCGTCATGTTTTTTTTTCCGCGAATCAGAACTAAATCAGTATATTAAATTGAAAGTGAATGTATTTTTAACAATTGTTTAAGCCTATGAAAGAATTGGATGTAAATTGTAAGTCAGCTCCCAGTTACTTCATCCGTGTGGACGATGGACCTTCACCTCGTAAACTTTGGAAGACCCGCTTGGCTGATTACACATCGGTGTTGCGTACCAACTCTCAAATCCCCTGATATTATTTTCAAGATTTACACAATCATAGTTCATAGTACTGTTCCAAACTGACTAGCAGCTCAGGTATAATAAAAGATAGGTTCTTGCAGGGAACGTGACCAATCTAATTAGCTTGTCAATTAGTAAACAAACAATAGGGCTTATACCTGTTATCTGGCGCTTGTCCTCTGATCCCGCTATTTCTTCTCTCTACTGTAAAAGCATAGAGATATAACTCTATAAAAAGGGGGAAAAAAACTTTGTATCAAATTTACGCAGATTTATTTTCCGCGATTTAGAATCGTCGCAAACGAAGCGGAAATTGGATACACGCGGAAAATACCTGATATATGGTATGTGAAGCAAAATATTATAGGGACTGGATACGTATGTTCTAAAGGAGACAAATTTTTGCAACTGGTTAGTCGCAATTTTTTTTTTGACTGAAATATTGATAAACCGAACAGCTAAAAATTTTTTTTTGTGATTTATTATGAGTTTTTGAAATTGTTTATTTACAGAGCAATCTATAATAATAAGTTATTAAACTACAGTCATCAGAATTCCTTTAAACAAAGTAAAAAAGATATTGCCATGAAAGTTTATTTAGCTTTATATTGCAAACAGAGTCAAACCATCATTTTCAGCGACATTCACTTCACATCAATCTACTCTTCTACAGTGCTATTCTTACATGTACATGTCCTTAAAAATGATTTACTGTCCCCGGATAATGACTGAACGAAATCTTGACACGCTATTCTCCAGAAATTGCTCAAAGAATCCACAGATATACAGAATTGTTGGTAAAACTGAAAGTTGTGGGAATAATTTAAGAGATCATTGAAAAAGGGAGCACCTAAGGCATAAACTAGATCAGAAGGGAGTACCTCAGACATAAACTAGATCAGACAGTTAACTCAACACTGTATAAAACAAGCGCTTCGTATTCTGTTTTTATGAAATTGTGATTGCTTCGTCTTAGATTTCTATTATATGCCGCCGCCATTTCAGTTTTAAGCATGCTACTTAAGGATATCCGATCCTCCGCCAGGAAGGATGACTCCAAAAATTAATATTCAATTTGAAATGCATCAAAATGAAGCTTGAAAATGATTTTTTTTCATGCAACAATTTTCATTTTATTCATCATTATAAGATTCGAGGTTTTGGGGAGTCTTAGAAAAGGTATTTAAAAAGTTGACATTTATACCCAATAAAAGGAGAAACAAATTAATACAGTTTTAGAAAAATAAGATTTTCTTGAATCCAGCCTTAGATACCAATGCTTATGAGCATGATATGAAATAAGAAGTGATTTGTGGTGTCTTGCAATGATAGCAAAAGACTTTTACACTATGTATTATAGAATACATGACGGAAATAGAATACAAAAAATAGCAAATAAGTATAAAAATCTTGACAATTTCTCTGAATGCTTGGAAGAAAATGCGTTGCTGATATTCCAGTTCGCATTTTCTGCAAGAATATTGGAGATTTAACAATTATTTTCCCTATATAATATGATTAACTTTAATCTTTAACTTTAAAGAATTAATGTGGAAAATTTACATAAGTTTGTGGATTCAGAGATACTTTTATGAGTATTTTTGATTACTTAACTGCTAATTTAATACACCTGAGGATCGGACTACCTTAAGAGTTCCAATTTTAAAAGGTGAAAATATACTTGAAAAAGTACATCTATACTGCAAAAGCTATCGACCTAACGGTTATGAAAATTGTAACCGGTAACGATCTTTTCGGCCGGTTAACCGATTAATCGTTGTTATACATTTTAAGTTTTTTAACATACCTTAAGTGATAATGTCATGCTTGGTAAAATTGTGGGTAAAGCGTTATAAAACCTAATATACCCATTAATGTAAAAACAGAATGAAAGTTTCATTGTGTGTTGAGTAAAATCAGGGAATATGTATACTTTCTTGGTAAATCAAATGAGCTCGTTATTTTGGAGTGTGTTAATCCTTCGACAAAGGAATAAGAAAATATACCAGTCGTTCAGATAATGTATAAATTCTAGAAGAGCAACAAAACAATTTATGTCTATGAATGATATAATTGTTCATATTAAGGATAATAAGAGGAATTTAATCAGTTGTTCCGCTTCCTCCTTGTTGAGTACAGTGAGGTAAACGTTGGGACCACGTGACGGTTACATTCCTTCTCGACACAGCAGAAGCTACACGTCATCTTCATGTTGGGGAACCCAGAGGGGTTGTCGTCCATACTGAGAATACAGTCAGGGTTAGGGGCAGTCTTCTGGTACCATTCCTTTTTACAAACATCCTCAGTTACACATCTGTAAACATTCAAATTCAAAAAGGTATCAAGCTGACAATTATTCAAATTGTACATCAAGTAAAAAAGAAGCCTAAAACATTATTATTGTAGGTAAGGGCCCATATTTAGAACAGACAATTACACTTACCCTTTGGTAACTATACGGCCCCCTTGGTTGTCCTGTTTCACAGACGATAAACAATGGTGTGACCCGCTAGAACATGTCGTTAATTCTTGCGTCTGACAGGTTTGATCCTTACACGTATAACATTGGAAATCTAACACGAAAAAGAGTCTATCAGAGACCAAACCAAATAAATACTTTAAACACAAAAATCATTTCGTGTTTTATAAATCTACTTAATCTGCAAATATATTACTATAGTATACGAAACATCTAAGAAAAAACATTCTACAGAGCAGTTTCTTTATAAAAATTTAGAATTGAAAACATTACCAGGTTTATGGGTGGTTGTTGCTGTGGTCTGTGTAGCATTAACTGTGGATGTTGGCTGATTTGTGGTCACGGGGGCCTTGGTGGTCGAAATTTTCTTTGTTGTCATGGTAGTTTTCTTTCCTATTGTGGTTTTTGAAGTTGGTTGTGTCGCAGTTGTCGATGGAAGATTTGTTGTTGATGGTGTAGAAGTTGTAGATGGATTTGTGGTGGTCTGAGCAACTGTAGTATGAACTTTATTAGAAGGTTTAATTGTTAATTTATTTGTTGTTGTCTTTTTATCTGTAGTCGTAGCTTTTTGTGCTGTTGTAGGTGTGTTTGTGGTTGTCACTGATTGTGTCGTTGTCGCTGCTTGATTGGTTGTTGCAGCTTGTGTAGTAGTTATGGCTTGTTTAGTTGTAGTAGTGTCTGTTGTTGTCGCTGCCTTTGAAGTTGTTGATTGTGATGTTGATTTTTGTGTAGTAGTAGCTGAGTTTGATGTTGTTGCAGCTTGTGATGTTGGATTTTGTGTGGTTGTTGCTGTTTTAGATATTGCTGCTTGTGTGGTTGTATCCACTTTTGCTGTTGTCGCGGCCTGAGATGTCGTTTTCTGTTTAATTGTCGGTGATGTATTTGTTGTGTGGAATTTTTGTGGTAATTTGGTCGTGGACAGCTTTTTTGTTGTAGCTGTTGTCTTTTTATCTGTTGTTGTTTTCATTTGTGTAGTTGTAATTGTTTGAGGCTTAGTGGATGCCTGGGAAGTTGTTGGCGCCTTTGTAGTCGTTGCTGCCTGTGATGTTGTTAGCGCTTGTGTAGTTGTCGCTGGTTGCAATGTTGTTGCTGCTTGTGATGTTGTTGGCGCTTGTGATGTTGTTGGCGCTTGTGTAGTTGTCGCTGCCTGTGACACTGTGGTCGCTTTAGAAGTTGTCGCTGTTTGTGAAGTGCTTGCTGTTTGCAAAGAGACCATTTAATGGGATTCTTTTAAAGCAGGTTATAAAACTTAAATTTTAAGAAGGAAATTCAATGTAATGGTGATTCAAAATTTGTTGAAACGAATAATGAATTGGAATCTCTGTCTACCCTTAATGTACCTACCTTGATTTGTGACTGGAGATGACGTGGAATGTTGAGTTTTTCCTGCATTATTCTGACCTATAAAATTTTGAAGTGTGTATTTCAATCATCTTTAAATAAGTCAGCTAACAAGCCTGCCGTTCTAATTAAACATTTTTCTATTTTAAAATAACGAATATTCTAAACTAACCAATTGTTCCATTCGCTGTCATCTGATTCTGACATTTAGGACAGGTTCCGCCTCCTAGTAGCAACCCTCCAATGTGAATATGGATATCTAAATCAATTCCACCCTGTCCTCCATTTTGATTCCCATGATTTTGACAACAGATTTGTCCGTTATGGACGTGGCATTGTGCTGCAGAATTTCCATTGTTACCATTTCCATTATTACCATTGTTTCCATTGCCACCATTGTTTCCATTGCCACCATTATTCCCATTACCACCATTATTTCCATTGTTACCATTGCCATTGTTACCTCCATTTCCATTATTTCCATTCCCAGTATTACCATTGTTTCCTCCATTTCCACCATTAGCCCCATTACCACCACTTCCTGCATTTCCTCCATTATTACCTGACCCTTCATTGCCTGTATTGCCACCGTTACCTCCATTGCCTCCTGCCCCACCATTTCCTCCATTTCCAGCATTACCTCCATTGCCACCACTTCCTGTATTTCCTCCATTACCACCATTTCCTCCATTTCCTGCATTACCCCCGTTGCCGCCATTCCCTGCATTACCTCCATTACCACCACTTCCTCCGTTGCCTCCATTGCCACCACTTCCTCCACTGCCGCCATTTCCAGCATTACCTCCATTACCCCCATTGCCACCACTTCCTCCACTGCCACCATTTCCTGCATTACCGCCATTACCACCAGTTCCTCCATTACCTCCATTGCCACCACTTCCTCCATTCCCACCATTTCCTGCATTACCTCCATTACCCCCATTGCCACCACTTCCTCCACTGCCACCATTTCCTGCATTACCTCCATTGCCACCAGTTCCTCCATTACCTCCATTGCCTCCACTTCCTCCATTCCCACCATTTCCTGCATTTCCTCCATTGCCACCACTTCCTCCATTTCCAGCATTACCTCCATTACCACCACTTCCCCCGTTTCCTCCATTACCACCATTTCCCCCCGTTCCCCCTGTGCCGCCATTTCCTCCAGATCCCCCATTTCCACCGTTTCCTCCAGAACCACCAGATCCTGGTTTCCCTGAATTCCCATTAGATCCCGGTTTTCCTGGAGAACCATTAGATCCAGGTCTACCAGGCCTACCAGGTCTACCATTCGTTCCACCAGGAGATGTAGTTGGTTTTGAATTTGGTTTGTTTGGTCCCGTTGGGGGTTTATTGTTGGGTTTTCCACCTGTTGGTGGTTTCTGGTTAGGTTTTCCACCAGTTGTCGGCTTTGGATTAGGCTTTCCTCCTGTTGGTGGTTTTTGATTAGGTTTTCCGCCAGTTGGTGGTTTATTATTAGGCTTTCCTCCCGTTGGAGGCTTTGAATTTGGTTTTCCACCTGTCGGTGGCTTTTGGTTAGGTTTTCCGCCCGTGGTTGGTTTTGTATTAGGTTTTGTATTAGGCTTCTTTACAACAACTTCGTCTTCAGCTTTCAATCGTTGGTCTTCCTCTGAAAAAAGCATCAGGATATTTTCTATTGTGCTAATCAATCTTAGAATTACTTGTAAAAACACACTAATTTTTATCGCTGTATTCCAGTTCTATTGTCACTCTGTATTTGCTTACCGTGTTTGGTCTATGAAACAATTAAATCAAAATGGAGTATGATGTGATTCTGATTTTCAATAATTATGACAAATCAACAACTAGAAATTTTAGAAGATGAATATATGGAAGTGGCAATATCATTTTTATGTCTAGAGGTTGGACGATTGTGAATTGCAGAATGTCATAAACAAAAAATTATATTTTTCCCTGGCTTATTTTTGCTCTGGGGAAACCACTAAACTCAATATCTTACACAAAGACAGTTCAAACAAAAGCAATTAACGTGAATATAAAGTTATGTGTAGGATGACAAGTTTAAATGAAAAAAAAAAAAAAGAACTTTGGTTGCAAGCAAAAAACTCAATAATGAAGAAAATTTATTGATGCTAAACTAATTTTTTTTTTCTCTGATAAAAGAAAGAGGCTCATGAATGAAATCTTTTTAAGCTTGTAAAATCACGCAAAAGTTGTAAGGTTTACAGCAATGTTGTTTTGTGGAATACCTATTCCCTCCGCATTACATAAGCTTCCGTCGCAGCACCAGGTACAAGTGCCCTCAAAACCAGTCCTATCGCCTCCATAGCATTCTTCTTCATTGTTTTCCTCCTTATTCATGCATGTCTAAAAATAATAATCATATACGATGAAAAACCGATACCAAACAAACCATATAGATACATTTATAAATAAAGGGGCAGTAATTAAAACAAACTGAAGTTATTATACAATTTTTTTTCATTTGGGTTTTTTATGAAAAATGTCGATTGTTTAATTAATTTCATTTCCACCGTGCTACAGATGAGTTTACATCATTTTGGAGAAGTGCAAAGTCATCAATTTCAATGACAACGACTTTTACTCTACCTGCATATGAGAGCATCCTTTGCTTACAAGAACTGAACCGTCTACATTGTAATGTCGCTGAGTAACACAGTGCTCCTGGAAGTTAAACAAACATCCTTGAATAATATTTATTTACAAAAACGTTTACTGTATTCAAGATAGGAAACATTATCTGTATGGAAGACATAAAAGTATTAATAGGTCCTTGACAAGGCTGGTGAATGACTTACGTGGCCTGTTTGGCAGACGACAGTTCGATTACACCCGTCACTTTCTTTGAAGTTTGTGCAGGAGTAACATTTGTACTCCTCTGTCCTCTCTTGAGAAGGAGCACTGCATACTAGAGTCACACCTGAAATTACATTTATCTGTCAAAGCATGCAAACACAAAAACTCACAAACATACATGTATGTTAAGTCTTCTGCAAGGATTGTACATAAATTGTTTCAATGATTCTGAGTTTTGACCTCTTCAAATTCACTGAATTAGCTAGAATACATGATCAGTACGTACTGGTCCCTGCTGACAAAGCAGTTTTTGTTTGTAAGGCTCATTATAGAAAAAAAGTATTTTAGAGGAACTTGGATTTGATTCTACAAGTGGTAATTCAACTAATACTCATTACTCCCTTTCTAAAGAAGAAATTCTTCTAAATCATATGTCAGTTTTGAATACTATAATATTCCAAACAACCAATATATTGGATACCGAAACTTCATAAAATCCTTAAAACAAAGATACTAAGAATACTAAGATATTAACAGTAGTAAGAGAGAAAGGTCAAAAGTACTGTGCAATAAAATATTCGAGAAGTGGTGTAAATCAAATATGGATATTAAAACAGTGAAGGAACTTTTGGAACATTTGAAATCACGATTTTTTTTCAAAACCAATAACAAAACAATTTACGACTTTCAATTTTATATACAACTTTTCCCCACGATAATTTAAAGTCCAGGCTTTTTGACATCATTGACAGGTACTTTTTTCAATAAAAATGGACTCGTAAATTTACTTACCTTATCACTGGTCATTTGCAAATTTTTTTAAAACATTCTGATTGTACACACAAGTACTCTAAAGTTGATATTAAAAATATGCTCGATTATGGCGTGTAAAACGTTGCTTTATTTGATAATCTTGTGATGTATATGCAAAACTTGTGATTTATATTCAAAATCTTGTGATGTATATGCAAAACTTGTGATGTATACTCAAAATCTTGTGATGTATATGCAAAACTTGTGATGCATATTCGATAATCTTGTGATGTATGTTCAATATCTTGTTATGTATTATTCAAAATCCTGTGATGTATGTTCTATAATCTTGTGATGCATGTGCAATAATGGTCTAATAATTATTATTTACCTCATTATAATTATTATATACAACGCGTTATCTGATTGGTTCTAGATTATCACGTGACCGGGCCATAAAACTTTTTATTATATAGTCTATTTATAGTCCCTATATAATCTATACAAACGCAAACAGTTCATAACACTACATATTCACCGGATTTGAGGCCGTATTACACGCGTGCAACTTGTGACGTCACAATCAAAATATCAAACAACGCTGTAAACGATGGTTGCAACGGCCGCAGCGAGCTACGTATCTGTGCAGGAAAACAATTATTCAAACCTATTTCAGGTTTATTTTTTAACATTTGGACGTCTTACACATAGTGAAACTCGGAAACAAAAACACGGAGGTTACAAACAGTAATCTGGAGATTTTTTTTTATTTTCAACAATGGAAGGTCGCTAATGAAAATGGTGTCGTCATACAGTTCAATATGTCAAATCAAATATAATAAAACAATTATGGACTGATTTTTTGTTATTAACCAGAAAAATATCCATATTGGAGCTGTGATGTGTCAAATGATATTCAGTAATTTAACGTTAAAAACACCTCTGAACACCTAGGTGAATATATTTATCGTTCGTTGAGAGATTTAGGTCTATGGTGCCAAATTTGAACAAAATTGTTTTTTTGATGTTTGTGTCAAATGAATTCAGTAATTTAACGTTTAAAATGAAGGTGAATTTAGGAGCGGTGCCAAATTTGAAAGTTTGTTTATTTCAAAAACGATTTTGCTTGTTTATAATAAACAATTCATTGCATGAATGTTCGGGAAACATGAAGATATATTCAGCCAAGAAATAACATATTCCTCTCGGGCAGAGCCCTCGGGGAATATGATATTTCTTGGCTGAATATATCTTCATATTTCACTCACTATCATGCAATAAATGTATAGTATGAAATTTGACTTAATGATAGATTGTATTCGCTGCCATGATCATTGTATCGATCATGTAACTTGCAAAATAATGATGGTATCCTTCTTTCATCAACTTGTTTGTCAATAGCCCTTCTCTCAAAAAATCAAAAATTGTTTGTACGTAGAGTATGGGCTGTATCCTCTAGTACTTTGCCTCTAAATAAGGTAATAGACTAAAGAATGTAATTTGAAATATGATTTCTTTAGCAAAAACTCAGATGTAAAAAAGAATAATGGATTATATCACTTGAAATTTCTTTCATCATTTCTAAAAAGCTCTCAGGTCTAAGTTACTTTATCAATGTGTGTCTTGCAATAATTTACATATAGTTTTCAAAGGCTTGTAACATTGTTGTGTTTTTAAAATAAAATACTTCATTGGTACCAAATAATGTTCTCGTATAAGAGAGGTGATCCTAAAATAAGAGAGTCTAGATTTTACTAAAAATTGCTCAAATTTTGAAATAAGTTCATTGTAAATAAAAACGCCCTTGTCCTCTACGCTACTAATGCAATTTATCAGTTGGTGAGTCTCTTGTTGATATTTCACTAATCCATGTCATCTGTGAATTTATCATCATGCCCACCAAAAGTGTTTGATGTTTTCCCAAGATTCAAGATGCACGCGGAGACTGGATTGAATTAACAGTATGCTTCTGCGTTTTGGAGAGGCTCTTTAAATCAATTCGTGTTCTAAAACCGGCCAGTTTTCGATAAAAACTCTGAATGTTGACAAATGGTGGGGATTTAATTTGTTTTTGAAAGAAATTCCTAATTTTTTTTATAAATCTGAAGAGAAGCTTTCTAAAGTTTACAAAAGTTCAAAACCGCTCTAAAAACTCGTATTTTTACAGACAGATCTATATATTCGAGAAAAAATCTTATTGACTACTTCTAGACAGCCTTTTTGTTTGGTTTATATTTACAATTCAAAGGGAGAGTCTTCATCAAGTAGTATATTTAAATATAAAAAGTTAAAGTTTGATACTAAATAGAAATGTATTTCTACGGGATTCTTCATTTTTTTTTTTATAAGAATACATGTATATCTATTCAACCCGTACATGTACACATGTTGACCCAAAGTAATGAACAACTGCTATAAAAACTTTAATAATTGAAGTTTTCGTCAATACATACATACATACTTAATTTTTTATGTCTTTTGAATTATTCCCTAAATCCGAAAACCTCATTCAGATATATGTAATTTACTCCATAAAACAGAAATAATAACTATCAAAATAAACACAACAATCGCTCTCTTTTGTCCTCACATGGCAAGAAGGTCGTGGCATCCTTATGTTTCTTATCGACACTCACTTTAAATCTAATGATAGATTTACGCAAAAAAGCAATTAATTTAGAAAAAATGGACATTGTTTTTGGATTGACCACCGTAAATAGCGTTTACAAAACTTCTACAGAGGTTGATTTTAAATTCTGCTCAAAAAGGTTATTTTTTTTACCATATTTAAATATTGAAGCAGTTTTCTATTCTTTTTTTTTTTTTTTGAAATTGGCATAATAGTTTTGATTGACAACTTAAATGTTCAGCAGAATTACCATATGAACCAAACAATACAGATTCCCCTCACTCAAAGGCACTTGACGTTCATATTTTTCTTATTAAAAGAATACAATGAAAATATATTTTTGTATAGAAAAATTTGCAATATCAAATTTTTTTTTACATTCAATATGTACTAGTATCTTAGCACACTTAGAACGCCATCATTTTTTAATTATGACCCCGTTTGCTGACATCAGTCTAAATAACCACCCTTTTAAACCATCATTTTAGGAAAAATGAAACACATGGAGATAACGTAAAGCATTCAAAATTTAAAACAATACAAAACAGGAGCAGATATCAGAGGTGGGACCAGGTGCCACGAAGGAGCGAGCATCAATGCGTCACATACAAGAAAAATTTTTGATCTTTCTTTTTCATTATTTTTTTGAAATTATACACATGATAATTTTAAGGTTATGATTGATATTATTTCGTCGCTCCTTCTTCTATTTGAATAAGAACCTGCTTTTGTTTTCTTTTTTCACAGATTTTTTTACATAAAACATTGATTTGAAATTCAAAATAACTTATTTTTTTAAATTAGTGGTTAGTGATTAATTTAGATATCTATTTACGTAAGACATAATATATTTCGAAGAGGGGAAACCATAAAAAAGCAACAAATAGAATTATGAACTCAGAAGACAACTCGGAAGAAAGATTGTGAGGAAAATTTTTACTATTTTGAGGCAGAAAATATTAGGTATTGAAAAGAGAATTTTCAAACTCACAAGCAATTAATAATTACGAGTATTGAGAAAAAAAAATCAAAGTTTCAATAAACATAAACATATTTCATACTTACAAACAAACATTAATTGTTGAAAAAAAATATTTCATACTTGCAAGCGAGCATTAATTATTAAAAATAATACTTCATACTCACAAGCAAACACCAATTATTGATAAAAAAAAAATATTTCATAATTACAAATATTAATTATTGAAAAGAAAATATTCATACTTACAGACAAACAGATAAAGCAGAGATTTGGTGGCCATTTCTAGAGGAGGGCGCCTTCTGTTTATCTGACCCACGATGTTGTTCTGTCCATATAAAAAGCTCATTCTTGTAGGAGGCCAGAGATTAAGTTGTTTACAGAGCCTTATGAAGGGAGGGGATGACAACTTTCACTAATTTTCTAATACATTCAATTACACCCTAAAATAGTATCTATGTACAAGAGGAATTCCCGACGTTAATTAAGTGTATAAGCGGACTAATTTTAATCTTTTCAACTATTTATGAAGGCACATGTAAGTGTTGCCTATCACAAAAAGGTTTTCTGATATTTATATCCAAAATAATTTGAATTCAATTGGAACTATTAGAGGTGTGGTAATGAGGATTGCTTTGAACAAAGTGAAAAATAGATGGTTAAAGCCGATCCCTTTAAGGTCCTTGATTTTACAACAACAAAAAAGACAGAAAATTTGGAATTGCTATTTTACGACGAGGTTTCAATTCAAGTGCATGTTCCATTTCAGTATTTATATTATATGTAAATGTTTAAAGAAATTGTTCATACGTAGGTCATGCTCTTGCGTATCGATTCAACTGAAATATATAAACTCTATATGCAAGTGATGAATATTGGTATATTACTGCATAAATAAGGGAAGTTGACGATTGTAACTTAGTTAAAGTCATCACGTTTATCATAGAGCTTGGTTGTTAGATTACCATTAACGTCTTTTTCAAGTGCTATATCCAAATATTAATCAGATGTGTCAGACTCTTTGGTGTCTTTTATCTCAAGCTCACCTGAATATATCGTATCGACATATGAATGGAAATTATCATTGTTAATTGACAATATGTCGCCGATATATCTAAATGTCGAGTTGAAAGCCAAAGCAAGTATTTTCTTCTTTTCACGCATAAGATTTTGCACTAAGTCTGCTTCATATTAGTACAAAAATACGTCTGCTAATAACGGGGCGCAATTAGTACCCAGGGGAATTCCAATAGATTGTTGGAAGACCTGGTCTCCAAAAACGACATAGATATTAATATTGTCAATCAGAAACTCAAGCATCTTTTTGATGTCAACTTCAGAGAACGGTTGTGTGTACAATCAGAACGTTGTTAAATAAGATAATTTTGCAAATGAGCAATGACAAGGTAGGTAAATTTACGAGTTCCATTTAAAAAAAAAAAAAAAAAAAGCAGCTGTCAATGATATCAAAAAAGCCTGGACTTTAATTTATCGTGGGGAATGGTTGTGTATAAAGTTGAAAAGTCTTAAGTTTTTAAGCTGTTGATTTTGGTAAATTCTTGTGATTTCAAATTGTCCAAAAGTTCTTTGGCATTTTTGAGTATCCACATCTGATTCACACCACTTCTTGAATATATTGTTGCACAGTACTCTGAAGTTTTTCCTTCACTACTGTCAATATCTTAGTGAGGAGTACAGAAAGAGGATTGGTTGAACATTCACTGGAACCCGCTATGTATCTTAGTTTGTAAGGATTTTTATGACGTTTTGGAATCCAATATATATATATATGTTAGTTCAAATTCATTTTGGTTCTTTGGGATATTAAAAATATTAAAAACTGGCATATGATTTTGAAGAATTCTTCCTTAGAAAGGGAACTATGAGTATAGGTTGGATTACCACTTGTAGAATTAAATCCAAGTTCTTCTAAAATACAATTTATATAATGAGGCTTACAAACGAAGACAATGTTGTTACCTGCTTTGTCAATAATAAAATTCAGTATAAAAAAACATAGGCCCAACAAGTGGTATAAAACAAGTCCGCCAAGATTCATGTATCCAATGATAGATCATATTTGTCAAATTATAGTTCGTGAACCTTTCATTTTGTGAATAATATACTTAGTATACATTCTTTTTGTGCACCAATACGAGTATGTTAGTTCACACTGCGCAAAGCATGTATAATTGATAATGATTTGATGAGAACTGTGACATTTACATATCCCTGATTGTTTCAGAATCCCTAATCTTTTCTAAAACAAATTACTAGTATTTAGATGCCATTAGGTATATTTGTCTGAGATATTTTTTAAAGGACAAGATTCGGGTACTAAGTTGTGGGAGGACTCTAGATAATCCCATTCTCGGATGTTTATTTAAATTTATCATTTCCTGTCCAGATAAACCGTGACATTTGTCAGCGGTATCCTCAGACAGTCAGAGTGATGGGCATTCCTCTGTCGATATCTGACGCTGGCCCATTATTTTTGTAATTACCATAATGCTAATAATAAGAATCTGAAGCTTGTTTTACATTGAATTGAACAAAATAAGATGTAAACATAAACTTGTATATGAAGTTACATACCCTGGTAGTTACTGCTTCAAGAGGGTTTAAGAAAGTTCAGCACTGTCAAAATTTTTTTTTTAATCATTTAAAACAATGATTAAACTGTTATATTGTACAAGACTATGATGGGTTCTTTTTCCCATAGTCTTATATCTAATATAGTATTTTAGCAATCTTTCCAGTCAAGCATACGTACTTTTATATATTTCTAGCAAAAAAAGACCATGTGCACATTTATGAACGATTGAGTTTGGAAGATTCTGTCACGTTCTAAATTTTGAATTTTGAATTGTTAATTAACAGTGGTAATTTCCATTCTTATGTCGGTACTATTTATGTCCTATCGAGCTTGAAATAAAAGATACCACAGAGTCTGACACATCTCTTTCATATTTGGATATTTTATTTGAAAAGGACGATAATGTTAATCTAACAACCAAGCTCTATGATAAACGTGACGACTTTAACTTTTCTATCGTCAACTTCCCTTACTTATGCAGCAATATACCATCATCAAGTTAATGACGCAAGAATATTAACAGTCTCGTTTAAAGTCATCATTTCGTAAGTTCTATGGTAGATAGAATGACCTTGTCAGCAAATACAATTTATCATTGAGTCAAATGCTGACTGACTTTTTCATACTAATTGTTATTCCATTATTTATACACTGAATTGATTTTTCCGTTATTTCCCGATCATGACAAAGAGCACACGACGGGTGTGGCCAGTCTGCACGGGATGTTCACTCCTCCATGGCACCTGATCCCACCTCTGATGTCTTTGATGTAAGTGTTTGCTCTCTCCTATTTTGTATTGTTTTATGGACTTTTGGTCTTGAATACTGTTCGTCATCATCCATATGTTTCACATAAAAAGGTACACAGGATTACGTAATTTGTGTTCCGAAATAGTGTCATTTTATGCCACTTGATCCCACCTCTGACGTCTTAGAGGTACTTCAAAATTTATATTGTTTGACTTTCAGCTTGAATACTCTTCGTTTTCTCCATAATTGCATCTTTTTTCAAAACAAAAGCGTAATAACGCCACGTAACTTTTTTTAGTTGATATATGCAAATTTTATATCTTGGCTTTCCTAACTTTTACATCTTGGCTTTTCAAACTTAAAATTGAAAACTTCGAATTCATCGTTTCAAATATCAACTTTAATTTGGCTTTTCCAACTTTTATCTTGTTTTTTACAACTTTAATCTTGTCTTTTCTAAGTTTTCAAGCTGGAAATTCCAACAACTTGATAAAAAAATCGACAATTTTGTTCTGTTCTATAGGCCTAAAGTTTTTTTAAAGCTAGGGAATCAACTACCAACTTACAAAAGGTACTTGGAAGAAAATCAGAATTTTTTTTATTTGCCATAAGAAGATAACACTTCACAGATACACACACACACTAAGAGAAAAATAATCATTCTACTTTTTTCTACATCAAGTTGTTAATGTTTCTACTACTCTATTCTTCCCACAAGAAAAACATCAGTTCACATTTAAAGCAGCTATGATCAGAATTTTAGTATACATTTTATGACCTTCACCATTGTTATAATGTGAGATTAAAACATCCCACTAATTACCATATCTAAAACTTACATTGTATCTATTTCACATAGTAAAGTAAACCTCAACAATAATTTCTAATAACAATAATATTTAAAATAACATCCGAGATCAATGAACAGGCGTAAAATGGGAACATGATAAATTATGCTTACTTTATTATGAAAAGAAAAACTAAAAATATTCTGTTTTCAAATACATCATTAAAATATAAATTGTTGATGTGTTCATTAAATATGTTGCTTTCAATGATAGGTGTATATATACATGTTCACTCACAGTGGTGACAAATTCTGAACAAAAAATGAATCACATTAAATGCCAAGAAATGCCCATTAAAATGCTGCATTTTTGGAAAGTGTGATGATGGAGGTAATAATATTTGAATTATTTTCTTATTTGTGTGGCAATTTAAACAAAAATACTCTTCTGAAATGAGAATTACAAAGATCTAATAAAAGCTGCTAGCTAGCAGATATGTTTAAATCTACCAGTCACACACACACACAAACATAAAGCAATGTCATACTGTAATCAAAATAATTTTCATCAAAAACAATTTTTCTAAATCTGAGGTTTTGTATAATTAATTCAGTTTTACAGCACACACACATATAATGAGAATAAAACACAGCAAAGCCAAACTCAACTCCCTCATTGCAAAACAATTGTGCAACCATCTAACATCATTCTCAGTTCACTTATTTTATTAAATTTGAAACCTATAGAAATATTTTGACCATTCTTGTAAATTTCTAGGTATTCAATAATCATCAGTCAGCATTGTACAATTCAAGTTCAAACAGTTTATGTAAGTAAAGGGGAAGAACTTGTACATATATGATCTACTAATCTGTGACAATCACTCAGAAATCAATGTGTAATAACGTAAACAAAGAATACTTAATATTTAGAGCATAAAAATATACATTTAAGACTCTACATTTCAAGTTTAAAAATTACAAAGCATAAATAATCCAAAAGTTATATGTATACTAACTACAACTGTAATACTATCCTTATCAGCCGACAAATAATGTTGTAAGGACCTCATTTCATCGCACTTTTATCTTAAAATGACAGGGGAAAAAATCTAGTGGATTATTATCTAGTATCAAATCATTTTTATTATAGTATACCAAACAAGAAAAAAACAGAATATTATGATATAGAAATAAATACAGCTTAAAAACAAGGGTGTAAA